GGGGGGGCTTCAAGTGTGGATTTCAGAAGCTTTTCTGAAAAACCCATGCCTTTAAAACTAGTTAAGAATGGCAGCCACCTGTCAGCCCAGGCCTGACTCTAGGAGACAGTTCCATCCTGTGCAGTCCAGAGGCCAAGTACACCAGTCCAGGAAGAACACTCATCATTATCCTCCCAGACTTAGAACCTTAGCATCCATCATCAGGCTCGTCTTTGGAAGTAATGTGTTTGTTTCCAGGAATGAGTATGGTGTCTTTACAAACCAATAATTGTGGGGAGAAAGACAGTCACTTCCTTACCCTCCTTTATCTGGATGCAGAAAGGACAGAGACAAAGAGACAGAACAGTTTAGTTCAATACAGTTGCTGCCCCACACTTTCAACACTGAGAGCCATCAAAGATTACGGAGGGAATTGTGGCTATTTTCCTTACACAGTTGCAGCAGGAACAGGCACCAAGGAGAAGAAAACCCTTTACATGCATGTGATAAGTGTGAATTCTGTGAAAGCTGACAGCCTGTCAATGCAACTGGGGGGGGGGGGTCCTAGATGTCTTAGTGAGGTCCCCTCCTGAAAGTCCCCCACAGTTCCTGCAAGGGAACGTGTCTGTGAATTATTGCAGACATCAGGATGCATGGGGCTCAGTTTCATCTGAAACGAAAAGAGGAAAATAACAACAGAAACCGACAATTTGGTGCAGTGGGGCTGGGAGAAGGCAGCCTAAAGCACGTGGGCAGCATTTGGTTTCTGTTCGGAAGAGCACCCAAAAGGTGGTGTTGACTTGAGACACATCCGGGCCTTTTTGATTTAGGAATAACACTGGAGAATTAACTTTGATCTGGGCATTACACTCTGCCCACAAGATTCCCAGGGCTTCCTGGCCTCAGGAACACACATCCTGAGGAGTGAAAAATATGCATTTATGTCTCCAGCCTCAGGGGATGTCACACAAATGGAATAATGTGGAAAGGTCAGACAGAACCAGGAGAGTGAGCCATCTGCACCAGCTAGTGTGGGGTTATCTGTGGGAGCACAGAAGCAGCCTTTCTAGAATCACAGCCTCAAATATTATGGACATACCCCAGATATATCTAACCTTTCCTTTCCTTAATAGTTCACTTTAAATCTAATATCTAGAAATGTAGCTCAAAAAACGTGGCAAGAATATGACCACCTCAGAAAGAATCAGTGTCAAAATCATAGAGGCAAACATATACACACACCCCTTCCGTAAACTCAGTCTCTACTACATGCCTTTCCAAGCCATGAAACATCACAGAGGCCTTTTTTACCGTGTTTATTTCTATAAATTTTCAGATAAAAATGAACCTTTAACTGGGATGCCACTGCGTGTGAGTGTAGCCATGGATGGGGTATGGGTAAATGTTGATTTTCTTTCGTCTTTGTTTCACATCCCTTAGCTCACCTGGAAGTTTGTATGAATATGTGAACGAGTGATTATCAGTTTTCAGTAGTTGTCAAAAGGTTTGCTGGTTATCTACTTTTAAGACTTCATGCATCAACAATGGATAACAAGGATCAACAGAAGGGCACCAAATCCCAAACCAGTGCAAGGATTCATCTTTGACTCTCACCCATGGAGCTCTTCGTTTTGTTCCATCTCCTTCTCAAGCCTCTCATTTTCTACTCTTTGCTCTTGTCCCCAGCTCTCTGTGTGATCTGGGGCCATTTCTTATCAAGACCCCCATCCTTGGTTCCCTTGCAGGATGAGGGGACATAGGATGTACCACATGTAGAAGTATAGTGAGGGCATGGTGAGCTCTTGGATATGAAACAGATTTAAAGAAGAAAACATTACCAAATATATGGAATTCTTGCTACTAGAAAATTACTTGCTCTGTCCCAGATGTTCTCTTCTGTGAGCTACGGTGTCTCCCCACAGAGGTACAGAACAATGGGGATCTTAGGAAGGGCATTGGTTGGGTAGTGACAAAAAGGTTTATATTAAAAGAGGGATGGGGCAGGGATGGAGGACCACAGCTGTCACTCTTGGGTTTACCTCTCTTTGTATACATGTTGCATCTCCACTGGGGTCTGTGGACGAACAAAAGGATCTCAGCGTGTCTGCTCTGTATATGTGTGTATGTGTGTTGATGCTTATGTGTTCCTGTGGTACCAGTAATACTCTTCCAGGGACAGGGAGGGTGATTTTCCATCTTTACCGCTGCCAAGGGGGGTTTCAGAGAGCCCTTGCCTGCTCCCTTGTGTGTTCTGCCTGTGATGACCTCCAAACAGCACTCTGGCCAGAGAGAATGGTGGCCTATTTCCTGCCCATGGTCAGCAAAACGCAACCATCTCTCTGTGCACGAGTCTGAGATGACCTGGCTACCAGCCCATGACTCCAAGTCATATTCGCACAACATTTTCAGAAATGTGAGTATCGTGTCCCCAAAAAGGGAAATCCATGGGAGAAAGCCAGCCCCACCCCATCCTCTACCTCCCTGGTTTTAGCCTTTTCCTGTGCTAGACTGTGCACCACCAAGCATTACTGCCATCTTGGCCTATGTTTTTTCCCTGCTATAAAATATTAAGAAAGATAGCAGAAAAAGATACTTTTGTTTGCAATGACATGAAGCAGGAGCTCATTGTCAAGGGTGACAGAGTCAGTCTGATGGAGAAAATGTAAATCCAAGATGGGGGTTTCTGCCCTGGCCCCAACTTCATGTGGTCATGACCAAACTAGAACACTTCACTTTCCTGAGCTTCATAAAAGGATTGGTGGACTTACCTGTGGCTGAAATCCTTTGAGGTCACTGGCTGCAAGGTCACTGGCTGTGAGGAGCTGGAAAAGAACAGAGGGGTTTTCTGAGTTTGCACAAGTTTGCACACACTGTCCTCAGGACAACTTATCAGTGATGGACTTACCACCATCTAGATCTGGAGCTAAATGTGGTATTTCTGGGCCAGGAACCTGGACCCAACAACCTTCTCACCTGGTGTCCACCACAGCTCTGACTTCTTCAACTCCCTCTGCAGCCCCCTGTCCAAGCACCTCCAATTCTACAAAGGGTCTTACATTACAGATGGGATTATGTATGCCCTTCAGCAGGTCCACAGCCTCCTGAAATTGTCAGTACAATCATGTGTGAATTTATAGATGTAGAACACTTCCTTAGGGAGAGGGTCCCTGTCTTCCTACTATCAAAGTAGTCTGTGATATCATAAGCTAAAGAGACAGTTAAAGACTGTCTCCTCCGGGAGGGCTGCTTCTTCCTCTTCCTCTTCCTCTTCCTCTTCCTCTTCCTCTTCCTCTTCCTTTCCTCCTCCTTCTCCCTTCCCCCTTCTTCTCTTTCTTCCTCTTCTACTTCTTCTCCTTCAGTTAGACCAGTAAAAAGTAACCCTCCCTTTACCCACCTACATGTGACTCAGTTTCCCTTTATCATATATTACCTTTGATCTTATATACTATGTAGGTATTCACAGCTTATGCCTCAAACTGCCATGCACAGTATTAGAAGATAAGAGTCAGGTTTATATAGTTTCTGTGTTTAATCAATATTAAAGGGTCAAGTTCATGTTTTGATATTTTTGCATCCTCTCCAGAAAGCACCAAATAAAAGCGTACGATTAATTGCTAAAATAATCACATTCTTTATTGTTGCACAAAAATGCTGGGAAATTGTAGGATAAAGAGAAAAAGGGCAGATGCTTATTTTGATTCAAGGAGTGTGACTGCTAGCTTTGTTAGGCCTGGAGAGCATCTGTGAAAAAGAGGAAAGATTTCATGTTTGCTGTAACAATATTTTGTTCGGTTCAAGAAAGAGAGGGAGTCATGCTGGGCTCCAATGCCTCTAGCCTTCAGGAAAGCTCAACTGGGCTGCTTAGCTTCTCTAAATCACTTTGCCAAAAATGATACATAAAGTGGTGTTAACTCCGGAATAGAGCAGAAAGGAGGTAGACAGTGTACACACTGTACCTTTCTCCCCACACCCAGTCCTGAGGGCTAGATTCCTCATGCTGAAGGTGCCTGGAGAAGGTGGCATCAGCCCTGACAGACAGACAGTCTGGCCCCTCTGTTTGTTATGAAACAACCAAGCAACAAGCCATTAGGGTACCTGATTAGACACCGAGGGCCAAACCTAATCATAAGACTTGTTAGTCCCTGCCTTTAAGGAACCTACAGATTGGTCAAAGGATGAGATATGTTTATGTCAGTGCAAGCAGAGGGTAGTAGAGTGTAAGCATCAAACTGTGTGCATAAAGCAAGAAAGGTCAAGGCAGGGTTGCTTTAGGAAGATGGAGATAGAACTGAGCCTTGCAAACGCAAAGGTGGCAGAGCAAGGGGCTTCGGATGGGCAGGTGGAAGAAAAAAGACATGGATGAGGATGTGCCAGTCCCAGCCCAGCTCCCTTTGCATCTGCTCATTGCCAGCCATGGTGTACAATAAGGAGAAAGGAGGGAATTAGGAGACACCGAGGGTAGAGAATAGCCTAGGTAGCCAGCAGTGTGGTCCCTGCCTTACATACTTTATTAAGCTTCATGACTGTCACATGAGATCAAAAGTATCTCCACTTTATGAATGGGAAAACCGAGACTCAATGGAGGTTAAATAACATTTTCTAGGTCACGCAGGTAGTACGTGTATGTATCCAAAACTATATTTTCCCAAAGCTCGTCCTCTCCCTTCTATGCTATGATGCCTCCGGATTATAGCACATTGGTGATAATTTGTGGAGGTGGAGTAGGAGAAAAAAAAAACGAGTGTTACTTTATTAGTCAATGAGCCACAGGCAGTAACATAAAGCATATCCCTATGAATGACCCTTCACTGACCCTTCTTCCAGACATTCTTTCATTTAATTGGTAATGACCATCTACTCTTCAGAGCTTATCAGTGCAGTCTAAGCCTTTAACTTTAGCTGAGCAAAGGTTAGGGTAGAATTGGGGAGGAGTGACAGAAAGTCTGGAGTGAGGTATGGGCATGGGAGTGACCTTTGCAAGGACAGAGCCACCAACATGTGTTAACACGTAGGATCAAACCTCGAATTCTCTAGGCCTTGGGAATCCAACAGGCAGGGATCTTTCTTTCCCTCTCTTAACAGGGTTCGCCAGAGAGAAAGCATGAGACAAAACATCTACTTCCTCCTAGCATGAAATGCTTCATCTAGAGTCAACCACAAGGGTGTTTACAGCATCATAACATATGCACTATTCCCTCGTGTCAATGGTTTTGGGATTGAGAAGTTACCAGATCCATTTGTTTGGTTGGATATAGAGATAATGGCATCTTTGGTTATTACTTGTTATGTCCCTAGCTCAACAAAATTAGGATCTATCCCACCTTCCTGGAAGCCTTAATATCTTCCTTCCTTCTCTTCAAAGGAAATCAGATGCATGTAACTTAGTTCTTAATTATTTAAGGCTCTGTTTTGTGTTGTCGTGTGTATTTTTTGTTTTATTTTTTCACTTAACGAGACCAGGCCCAACAAGACATGATTTATATCTTATGTAACTTCTGCATTCCTCAAAGTGATGAGAAGAGTCTAAACAGGTGATTAGTCAATAAATACCTGTTGGCCAAATGACTTAAAAGGAAAGTGGTGAATATTGTCAACCTAGAGGTGAAGACTAGAACGGCTAAGTTGCTGAGCCTGGAGAAAAGAAGTGTGAGAGACAGCTTATGACACCCTTCAAGTCGACAAGAGGAAAGGGCACTCAACATCTAGAGCATTTCCTGCATGAAGTAGGCACTCAGATATTTGAATGAATTAATTAACTTACATGATGAGAGCAAGCTCTTCTCTCCTTGCTGTAGGTTTTATGAGTGAACACTTCAGTGTAGGAGTCAAAGTTAAATTGAAGGAAAGCCGGTATGAAAGAGAAAGTGGTTGAAAAGTGAATGAACCTACTACCAGAAAGAGAAGGCAAGCTCCCTTGCCTGTGGATGAAACAACACAGTGAGCCCATGGCCATTCAGATGTGGTCGTTTATCTGAGCTGGGTTTGGGGGAGGCAGGAGGAGGTGTCGGGTATGGTTACCAAGTACTTCCAGAACTTCTGAATGTTTTACCTTTGAAATTCTGAACTATTTCCATCACAATCTAGCACAGAGATAATCTAGGTGTTATCTGACATGGAAACAGCCAAAGGCAAGCTTTGAGACTTCCTCCCTCAATGGTTCCAGAATGAACAGTGTGCAGAAGTCTGCTTTTCCCAAAACATCCAGCTAGGACTCCCTGCCTGCCTGGCTCCTGGATTCTACCCTTGCTCTAACCCAAATACATGAACTCTTTGGCAAAACACAGACCCTGCTCCTTGGCCACTCCCATTTACAAAGCTGATTATTTCCTAAATGTCTACACATTCCACACGCAGGAAAGGAGAAAGGACTGGTCCTCAGCACTGAAGCCTGTGCTCAGATGTAGATTAGAAATACAGGATAGGAAGTCCTGCTGCATTCTGAAATTGCAGCCCACCCAGATCTGTACCCCAAAAGAGTTCCAGTCTTAAAGACTATCAGAACCTGAAGGAGACAGCTGAAGCTCTCTGGGTGGATAAGAAAAATCACCATGTCTACAGTGGGGTCAGGAGCCACTTCTGTTAGGGAACTGGAGCAAGGGAAGGTAGTATAATCAGAGAGCTCCTACTGTGTCCACCTCTCCCTCCCTTCAACCAGAGTGGTTCTGTTTTTCTTTCTTTCATGTACACAAATTAATTTAGAGTCAAATGTTCTGCCACTGAAATGAATTTCAACCTTCCAGACTAAGTCCTTATTTTGCAGAAGAAGTTGATAAGTGACTTCTTTAAAAAAAAATTTTTTTAATGTTTATTTATTTTTGAGACAGAGGGAGACAGAGCGTGAGTGGGGGAGGGGCAGAGAGAGAGGGAGACACAGAATCTGAAACAGGTTCCAGGCTCTGAGCTGTCAGAGCAGAGCTCGATGCGGGGCTTGAACCCACGAACTGTGAGATCATGACCTGAGCCGAAGTCGGACGCTTCACTGACTGAGCCACCCAGGTGCCCCAATAAGTGACTTCTTCAAGATCACATGGCTGGTTAACAAGAAGCCCTGGTGAGTCCTGTAATCCCCAGTCCCTCTGCAGAAACCCCCACTAGTGACCATCTCAGTCCAGTCCAACCCTAAGTCCAGACACAGCTGGCTGCCTGCTCTGTGCTGAAAGAGAGGTGCATATGCTCAGAACACAGGAGAAACTGAGGCCTGGGCAAGAAGACATTCAGGTGTCCCTCCACAAAGCCAAAGCCACTGCCCTGAAAAGCATTGATCTAGACCCTCTCCAGACCATCCCCCTACTCAGAGACTGGCCTCATTCTGTCCCACTGGAAAACCGTTCACTGCCCAGAGCAGCCTGGCTGTGCGGGGAGGCATCCAAGACAGGCAGGCAGAGAGGGAGGAAAATGCAATCTGCTATGGCTCTGGGGACTTCAATCAGGCTGAAGTTAATGAAAAGGATCCTGCCTTTTCCCAGGACTGCTAAATGTCTGCACTGCTCCCAGTGAGAGGGTTGAGCGGGTGTTGGGGGAGAAGGGCAGACAGAATTACATTTAAAAGGCAAAGGAAGGAGAAAATTCTTTCATCTCCCTGGTGGAGTGGGCAGTGTTCCTGGGGCCCTGTCTCAGACCATTCTCATTCCTGACACGTCTTGCTGTTCTCTGGAACAGTCCACATTCAAAATATTAGGATGATGACCCTGCTTTCCATTTTTGAGGAGCTGCAATTTCTCTCTTGGCACAAGTTCTTTTTTCTTTTTTATTTTTTTTGTCTCTCCAAGACTGAGGGGTGGGTTAGGGAGCAGGTAGGAGGGTGAAGGAAGCTGTGAAGCTC